TATCTGTTATACAGACTGTGACTTAACGTCCAGCAGTTGTGTATAATGTTGTCACTGCTAAGATGTGTGGATGGTCACTGGTAGTGTAGTCCCTTCCCTTGTGCATCAGCAGCAGGCAAAATCAGCAGCCAGCTGGCCATGGGAATACAAAATAGTTTACAGAAGACAGAATTAAAGGAAGAACCCAATGTTAAAAAACTTATGAAACAGATCTTAATTGCTGCTCCTCAATTTCTCCGAAACTGTGGGAGTTCATTTTTAGTTGGGCCTTTCAAATGTTAGGAAGCTATTACTCTTTCTGCAGGACACTCAATCTCCAAGCAACAGTAATGATTCTAAGAATTTCAGTTTAAAATTAAGATGCGTAAATTCTAAATTTAAAACTTAATATAGGCAGCAAGTCACATAAATTTACTACATTGCAAAAGCTGCCTGCTCTGTATAGCAAAGCACACTGCATCATAGAATCATGGAATGATTTGGGTTGGAACAAACCTTGAAGATCATCTAGTTCCATCTCTGCTATGGGCAGGGACACTTCCCTCTAACCCAGGTTGCTCACAGCCCCATCCAGCCTGGCCTTAAATGCTTCCAAGGAGGGGCATCCACAGCCTCAGTGTGCAACCTGTTCCAGTGTTCCCTTAACACCCTCAAAGTAAAGAATTTCTTTCTGATATCTTCTTGGATTTTCTTGTTATATGTCCAAAATAATTTCCCAAGTGTAACAAGTTTCATTCTGCTCTAAAATTTACATCTTTGACTAAATATCTTGATTTGCTTCCCATTAGATTAGGAAAAAAAAAAAAAAAAAGTAAATAAGGAATTAATGGCTGAGGCTTCTCAAAAAAGAAAGACGTTCACCACAGAAACATTAAAGATCTGAATGAAATATGTAAATAGTCTCCATCAAAATAAGCTGGCCACAATTAGGATTGAATGTATTTTTAGTTGGCTCCTTTCATGTCCTTCACCAGAGTTGATACAAGCTGTTCCCACAATATGACTCTTTGTGGCTTATCTGCTCTTTTCTCTTTCAAGAGCAAGTACAATTAGCTTCCTCAGAGGCCAGCTGTGCGAGGGTGAAGCATGGCCATGTTTGTTTGTGGGCTTTAGCTAGCATAACTCTTTCCTTGTCAGATTGGCTTAAGCACTGTTTTTCATAAAAGTGTGCTTGTCTGGATTCTGTTCATTACCATCTTCAACAACTTCCTTGCATCTATGGTGGTATTTCTTGCCTTAGAACAGCTTATTGAAGTGCTCAGCCAGGCCAGTCAATTAAAATGAGCATACTAAAAACAAGAAGCAGATGAATATTTTCTCGTGCTTCCACCCTGCCTTCTAGATAGCATCTAACTCTCATACCATTTTTCACACATTTAAACTAAAATTGACAAGAATTCTGCAACGAACAAAGCTTAGCAGTAATATTGTTCCCAGAGCTGAAGTTTATACAGTGATTTTATACAATGTGGTTTTTACAATGTTTTATTTCTTAGCTTTAAAAGTATCTTTTACTCTTTCTTTTGGGACTGAACACTTACTTAATCTACTTTTTTTTCTGTCTGCCAGTGGTATGTGAGTAGTGAACGAAAACTGGCATAGAATGCACATAACTGAGGGAAACAGTCTCTGTAAAATCAGGCCATGCATCTTAAGAATACATACTAAGAGTACAAAACATAATCTTGGAAGTTGGTAAGGCTGCATCCTAGAATGGCAAACTGATTCTGATGTTAAAGTACTACAGCCTCTTCTGCTTCTCATTAGTAGTAGTAATTAGGGTAGTATTGTTTCTATTTTCCTCAACAGGCTGTACATGGGAACAGCAGCAACCCAGAATTATGTCTTTGGAGAAAGTAGGTTATTCTTGCTATAACAGTAAGAGATTTTCTTTCACTTTTAAGGCTTCTTGATCCCATGGCTGTAAACTTACATGCAAAATCAGGGAGATTAATTCAGAGTCCAACCTTTGCTCCAAAGCACACACCAATTTTAAATTTAGATTAAAAAATAAAATGCTGGTGCTACTGAAAAACTGTGGAAGGCAAATCTAATTACTTAAAAGGTGTCTTAAGCTGTAAGGTCTGTGCTTGTTGGGAAGGAGGTGGAAGAAGGAGAGCTGTGTGAAAGGAGAACATCAAGTCATAAATCCTGATGAACGTAACCTTCTAGGCCATGTACTTATATTTCAGCATGTTCTCCCTCACTGCCCTCCAGCTCTAAGCTTTTCTCTGAAAACAGAAGTTGTTCTCCCGATGCCCTTATTTTGCATGAGTTCAGAACAGAAATGGCAGCAGAAGTGGCAGAGATGCCCTCAAGTACTATTTTGTACCTCCGTTGGAGAAAATTCACAGTGAGATTGGGGATAGAAGTAGTCACAGAAATATCTGTGTGGGTTTGCTTCTGCCAGTGAAGTCTGCAGACAGAACAAATCCTGTCAGAATTCCCAGCATTTGTTTCACTGGACGTTTGTGGTTATGCCAAGAATTTATTCCAGCAGAAGTGTGGAGTGGGGTGTTGTCCTTTTTCCCACTGCAGAAAGAATAAACTTATGTCTGACTTTATAGCTGATTCAGCATCAAGTGCCAACACTTTATCAGGTTACATTGATGGTCTGACCTGTTTGAAGAGAGGAGGCTCAGCATGGAGGCTGTGAAGAAAAAGTCCCTCCTGTAATCTCTTCAAAGTCTAATCCAATTAGGAGACTGACCCTTCTCACACCAGGTTTAAGTATCAAAATCTCATTAAAATCTCACTACTAACCATATTTCCACAGTCAGATCCTGGGTTCCACAATGTGCCCGTCGGCGTTTTTAGGGAAACTCAATAACATCTTTAAATGGAGCAGAAAGTGGCAGATTTTCTAAGAAGCAGCGAAGGCAACTTGGAGAACAACTGTTCAAAAAGTGAATATTCCCACTGATAAAAGTTGAGAGGAAGAAGTCTATGTATTTTAGAAAAGCTGCTCTTCACTTGATTTTGACATTTCTTTTACTTTAAGGTATGCCTCACAGGTACCAAAGCTGTCCATGAGATGGATCTCACCATTGTGCCTAAGGAATTAGCCAGCTTTGATCTTGGTTGCTCTGTATACTGGCGTCATGGAGAAAGCTTGTGGCAAAGACTCATACAGAGACTCCAGACTCGCTGCACTGTTACCAAGCCGTGACATGTGTGAATTTCTGCGAGGTGCTGGAGCTCACAGGAGCCTTGGGAACGAACGCATTTTTGTTTGCAGCTGCAATGATGCAACTTAGCGGCGGCGCTCGCGGGCCGGCGCTGCAGTTCCCGCCCCTCGCCACGTGGCGGCGCTGAGGCCTGAAAACCCGCTGCTGGCTCGCGCTTGGCCGTGCTGCTGCTTTCCCGCCTTTTTATCGGGGAGCAGAAGGGCAGCGCTGAGGAAGGCATCCCCACACGATGCTGTGAGCTATCGGCAGCGAGAGCAGTTACAACGCTCACAAAATACATGTTTATGATATATTTAGTATAAGGACCGTAATCTGAGCTGGCTGGGAGACAAAATCTGTACCTTTGAGCTGATAGTAACTCTGATTCTGGAAGAAAACATTACTGACAGCCTGTATGGTCAACAAAGCTAAGTGAGGATGAAGCTGCTGATGTGAGGGAGAAAAAGGTATTCAATCAAAGCACAAAAGATTAAAAAAAAAGGGAGTAGGCAAACTCAACCCTTCCTTCTCCCAGGATGTCCCATCTTTCAGCCCAGCTGCTGAGGTACGGAGGCTGCACCAGGTGGGAATGATTTCAGTTACACTGCATGCCTACACTGATTAGAATTCAGTAACGGTTGTGCAAGGTGGGCAGGGAGGAGTTTGGTTGTTGGTTTTTTTTTTTCCAATTAGGGGAAAGAAGATTTCATGTTAACTGCAAGTTTGCAGTGAACTTTGGATTTACAAACTACTGTCTTGCATTTATTGAGCGTGCTCCTGGCCGCCCTGAGAAATGGAGATTGAAGTCAGGTGTTCCTGAATTAGCCAGGCTTTTGACGGAGCAGGAGGCAGCACTAAACAAACTTTACTTTTATCTGAGCACTCACTGAGTTGCCTCCTGATAGGTGTGTGTTAAGGAGTGACTGTTCAAAGTTTCCCAATTCTTCCCAACTCTTGGTTTGGATGAAATTCTGGGGTCTTCAGAGATTCTGGACAGTCAGATTTTGCAGCTGCTGCCAGCAATGAAACCATGCAGTAACGTGGCTACCTAAACAAAACAGACCGTGACAGACCTGTGAGATGGAAGGCACCACAGACGTCATTCTGGAGACTTAGTGCTGCAGGTGATGAAGCATCTTTAATGATGTCCACGGGTGGATCAATTAGATTCAATTCAATTCTCATGGAGGATCTTGCCTCTGCTGTTTCATAACCTGTCATTTTATGTGTAGCAAAGTTTGTCTCCAGCTGTGAATGATAGTTACAGCTCATTTGGCAGTCTCATTGTGATATTGTAAGATTTTTTCAGCTTAGGGAGGGTAGAACGTGTAAAGAAGTTATTAAAACATGAGTAACTTTTATAAGGCTAATAGAGCTCTGTGGCAAATAGAAGAAGCAAATGTGAGAGAAGAAAGGAGGAATGTGTTATGATAAACAAGAAAAAGGTGAAGTACATGATGCAGAAAAGAATCCATTCTCAGAGTATACTTGCTTCATCCTCTTCCTGAAATATCAAAATACTTCCTAGAGTACCACACCAACATCTGTTCGGGCTTAGCCCATCTCTGACGTTCAGTTAATAGTACTATTATCTATCTAGGGTAATAATGCTGTTATACTAACTTCAATGCCAGTGTGATTACTGAAGAAGAAGGTAAGATAAAGCTTGGTTCCTCTTGGTGGCCTGAAGTGGAAATGCAAAGTCACAGCTTGAAGCAGTGATTGAGCACCTGGTAGGAGGACAGGGACAACCCAGGGGAGCTCAGGTGCAAGCAGTGTACCTGAGTGAGCAGAAGGGGTGGAGCCAGGATCCACCTCTTCCCAGGCCTCGTTTAAGGGTTGGCAGTGAAGGCAAATGTATCTTGTTGGAGACCCTCTTGTGTGCTTGGGCCTTCTGTAGGTAAGTAGTCTCTTTTATTTCTGTACACACAGGTGCTGTGTTTGAGCTAATCCTCGCTTTCTGCAGCCTAGGACCTTGTTGTTCTGCTGCACTGCTGTGCTTTCCACTGTGTTACACTGCTGCTAAGAGCTTTCTACCACAAAGAATAGTGGGGAGTTACAGGAGCAGTGCTGGTAGATTAAAATCCAGTGCAATCACTGAAGTCTGAAGGACATCATGAAATGAGGCTTTGCATCCAGTGCATGTGTACGTTTTTGCTAATAACCTGTGCTTTTCTGTATTTTTATTATTTGCAAAATACATCATTTCTCATCCTCATAGAAGTATTCATGTTTCACATGAAAGACTTCTGAGCTCAGGTACTGAAATGACCAGAGTTGTAACTTCTGAAACCTTAGGTGAATGGCTGTTATTTAGCAAGGGAACAATCCCAGATCTTAAAACAGTGGATGTTTAAAATAAGTGATTTACACATTTAGATTAGAGCATCATAGTGGCCTGGCCAAGAGCAAATAAACCACAACTGATAATAGGATTGAACTAATGCAATCTCTTTTGTGAATGTGGAAGAATAGGATGTGTTCTCCCTTGCAAATACCTACTTTTTTTTTTTTTTTTAACTTATTGAGATATGAAGTCTAGTTCAAGAACTCTTCTGAAGCTTTCTGATTTCAAGCCTAGATTTGTTCTTGTTTTATTGCTGCTTGATCTCATAACAAAGTTGCCCTTTATCTTTAATAACTCTTCACCCTGACTAGTATTTCTGTTCTGGTTAATATTTATAGGTGACAAGAGTTCCATTATTTAGCTTTAAAGCAGCTGGTTTTTTTTTTTTTTTTTTTTTTTTTTTGCTAGGCTGGCAACGGCTGGGTCTGTAGAGGAGAGTTTATGGTCTGTATCAGATTAAGAAGAAGAAAATGAACAATGAAAGTGGTAATACTGACTTGACTGAGATCCTAGCAACAACTTATGAGATGTATCTGGCTCTTGGCAGTGCTGCCTGACCTAATGCTTCAGCTTGAAAAGCAGTAAGGACTGTGCAAAATGAGTAAGGAGGGCACTCCCGAACAGTCACTGAGAGTCCTGTAAGACCCCCATACAATGTTCAAGTGCAGGTGGCCAAGGAAAGTAGCCAAAAAGGGGATGGAGTACAATGCTTGCTTAACCCAATGAATATATAGGTAGTAGATGTCTCTTTACTCCACCTTGTTAATAATGTAGTACAGTATGTTTAAAAAACAAAACAAAACAAAAAAAACTGAGCGAGAGGCTGTGCTTGATTTGTGGAAATATTGCATCTGGCACTCTGCACTGAAAGTAAACCAGGTTTCCTTTCTAAACATGCATTTTTTTCAGAAGTGCAGGGTCTGTTTTTGGTAACAATGCTACAACATCAAATATGCTTCAGTTGCTCTTCCAATGATGAGCAAACTGCATTGTCTTGGCTTTTTGTCCCTTGTACACATGATTAAAAGAAGAGTAACTGCTGTGACAAACTATTCAGCTGGAAGTCTATACAAAAAGCAGGAGGCATCTACTTCACAGGCGGATTCAAGCTTTTATCATGCTGCATGGCCTATAAGAAAAGGAGGAGCTATGTCACATATCTGCCGTAACTCACGTTCTCATTCTATCATACTTCAGAGAGCTATGGGGATTTATTTTTTTCTTCTATTGCTGATACACAGTCACAAGTAAGAATGTAAATTCTGAGGGAGTCCAGAACAGCTTAATTACACTTAGTGTATTAAACTTTCCAGCAAGCAGAAAGCTTCAAAATATAAAGATTGGTAAAAGCGATAAGCCACATCTTGAATGGAGTTGCATGACTGCAGCAGACTAGGATGATTCTGGTCCTTACTCTTTAGATTTGGTGTTTTGTATTAAGACAAGCAAAAGCAAGACTTTTTCATAGAGGGCAGATCAAGTTGTCAGAGTAGAAGCCTCTCTTGGTGAGCTCAGCAAGCCAAGATTTATTTTGTTTAACTGAGTTTGGCTATAGCTTCATTGCAACACTACTAAAAGGAATAATCCATGAGCAGATGTTAAGCAGTGGTTTCTGAGCCCTGTGCTGTGTTCTGTTCACATACCCTGTATGTAGGTATGGCTCTGGTGGCTGCAGGCTTTCCTAACAGGTTTGCCTACAGTGCAACCATACTAGAAGGCACCTGTGTGACAATCAATGTAGCCTTAATTTCTCATGCATAGTGCTTGTTCTTTGAGGCCAAGGCTCATGTTATGGCATGAAGCATATTTTGACACTAGATGTGGAGCGAACAGCAAGTATAAAGGTCACAATTCCAACTGCTTGCATGCAAAGACATAATAGGTAACTTCCCAATTTTCTGCATATTGGAGTGTTTTATTGACCTGATTATGGCTCACAAATAGTAAATATTTTTTTGAATAATGATATTAATAGTGTTTTCTAGCATGAAACCATTCCAGAAGTCTGATTAGTAGGGGGAAAACAGTATTTGCATTCACTGAAACTGGTGAAGAAGCTTACCAAATGAGGCAATTGGACCTGCTGTTTCTGGTGACTCGCCATACTAAGTGGCAGTTCACCACCTTGTCCTCAACCCTGGATGTTACAGAGTTGCTGTTACAGCTGAAACCCAAGGCAGGCCTGTAGGCTTTGAAGACAGTGGAGAGGTGATACCTGCAGCTCAATTTTCCTGCAGACTGATTAGTGGCATCTGGTACAGGTTTGCTTTCAGTCACTTTAATTTCAGACATTTGAATGGGTGGCAGTCACTGACCTCAAGTCACTTGTGCTCTGGTTAGGTAAGCATGCTTAAGAAGCATTGGCTACTAGGACCTGTGTTTTGCATTCCACATTCCCCTCTACCATCCACTGCCTTCCTGCTCTTTGTGGCTGGTGAGAAGGCAGGCCCAGGCATTAGCTATGCAAAGATCTATTAGAATACTCAGAATTTAAGAACTGAGCTATAAGTGATGTCCAAAGATACAGTCTCAAGCACTCTATTTTGTTTTAGAGGCTGTGGCAGATCTGTGTTTCTGGATGGTGACTTGTCTATCAAGTCTGAGATTACAGTGAACCTTTCCATCTCATCACCTCTTACCTTGGACTGGCTGCATGGGCTGACATGCCATCAAGACAGCGCTCCAGGAATTAAGAATGTTAGCAAGTCACGCTGTTAAGAGTTAGGGGGGCTGTGCTGGCCAGCCCTTCCTGTGATGTACAGGTGTGCTAGAACAGTGGGGAGAGAGGGAAGGCATATTCTTGAGGAACATTTTTTATTTAAAATTAACTATGGTAACCACTTACAAGAGCTTCAGTCTAATTATGGCCCCTCAAGCTACTGAATTCTCACTGTCTCCTTCTCAAAGTACAGTCCCAAGGGGACTGCTCTGGAGAGACAAAAAAGTGTTCAGTGTGGTTTAAAATATGGTAGATACATTTCAGCTACAGGTCACAGTGTGTTTTTTTTCCCCTTTGATCTCAAAGAAGGAAGAAAAGTGAGTCAATGTGACTGGAATACTACCTGGCCATCCCATCTTTTTCTTGCTTTAGAAGGTAAAACTTCAGATGCTCTGGGTGCAACTTTGAGTTGTACCTCAGTAGCTCTGGTGAGGCTGCTGATGCAGCGCTTCTGTGTCTGAGTGCTTTCTGTAAGTGCTGAGGAAAAGACAGTGGGCCTGCTAGTGGGGCAGCCAAGTCCATGGGAGGGCCTGAGGGGAGAGCTTGAGCTCTGAAGCAAAATGTAGGGTGCAGATATCTTATCCAGAAATAGAGCCGCAGATCTTTGGGGATGCATAAAAGTGGAGCTGGCTTGTTTCTGAAACCCAGTCTCCAAAATGTATTCAATGGCAAGGATCTACTAATATGTTTGGTTATAAACCAGCCCTGGCATAATCGCTCAGCAAATTTAGCTGGAGAATTCTGTGTCTGTGTTAAACTTCTCTTGCATTTTTATGACTACTTCACAAATTTTGTGTTGCAATGAGCCAAGAGACTTTTATTTTTTGATAGAAACCAAACCACTCTTTTTTTTTTTTCTAAACCCACTTCTACCTGTTGAAAAAGCCCTTTGTTTCTTTCTAATTATCAAATAACAGATGGCTTATGTTAGCTTCAAGGGATGAGGAATTGGGATTTGGGAACTGGGATAACAAACTGGTCAGTTATGCTTGGATTTCAACTACTGTTGTTTACCAATGGCTCTGGCCCAGTATTGCAGGACTGTTTGTGCAGTCCTCATCCTTTTGAAGTTTCTCCAAAAGGCAGGAACCAAGATGCTTCTCTTCTGGATTATGAAATCTGTAGGAATTGAAGTAGGAATTTATCCTCTTGTTGATTTTGGAGAATGAGAAAGAGAGGAAAAGGCTTTGGTCTGATCTTGTTAATGAGCAAAGATGACTAAAACAACTCTCTTGGCCAAGTAAACTTTTGGCAGGATCAAATCTCCCTGATGGTTTTGTCCTAAGCCCAGTCTCTTAGTGGATGCACACAGTGTCAAAATGGCACTGATATATTTCTTAGCTCTAGATGTATATTTACAAAAGTTCATAGAAAACAAGTATTTTCTGGTGAACTCATGTGACAATGGGTTTGAGAATGATTATAGAAGTTACATAATCTGAATTTTATGATAGTGTTCTACTCTGCAAATCAGCATATTGGTTGGCAAATGTCATGGTAATGTTACGTTCCTTTTTAATAATCTTTTCTCAGAACACAGCATAAGTGGGAGTCCTTTGTAGCTGATTACTCCCTTTGCTTGGAGATATCTATACTTAAGAAATGACCTAATCTGCTGTTCTTCCCTTTGTTTGGAATTAAAAGGAAATAGAATCTTTATCCTGTTTGGATTTATATAATCCTCAGCACTTCTTTGTAAGAGTAGTAGCCTTCGTAGTTTTGTGCAGTGCCTAATGCACCTTCTGGCAATGCTGTGTATTTACTGAAGCACTTTTCAAAACATTTAATGTGTATGTAAAATTGTGTAATGGCCTTCATTGCCAATGTATTGGCATCTGAGCTACTCTTTTTGCTGGTGGTACTGGTGTGAGGAAAAACATCCTTCTCTGGAAATATCATATGGGTTTGATGGGTAGACTGCTCAATGGATGAGGATCTGGCTGCAAGATTGTACCCAGAGAGTGGTGGTCAATGGCTCGATGTCTGGATAGAGATCAGAGATGAGTGGTGTTCCTCAGGGGTCAGTGCAGGGACCTGTGCTCTTTAATGTCTTCACCAGTGGGTTTAAGTGCATCCCCAGCAGTTTGCAGATGACACCAAGCTGTGTGGTGTGATCAACACACCCAAGGGATGCTAGACAGGCTGGAGCAGTAGGCTCAGGTGAACATCATGAGGTTCAATAAATTCAAGTGCAGTTTCTTGCACCTGGGCTGTGGCAAACTTCTGCTATCAGTATAAGCTGGGGGATGGAAGCAGAGCACAGCTGTGCTGATGTGGGGGTAGTGATGAATGGTAAGTTGAACATGAGCCAGCAATGTGTTCTTGCAGCTCAGAAAGCCCTACAAGGGTGGGCTGAAAGTGTTGGGGCTGTTCAGCCTGGAGAAGAGAAGGCTCTGAGATGTTTGATAGTGTCCTTTCAATATCTAAGAGGGAGCTGTAAGAAAGAAGGGGACAAACTATTTAGTAGGATCTGCTAGGGTGGAACAAGGCAAAATGGTTTCAAACTAGAGAAGGGAGACTTACACCGGGTGTAAGGAAGAATTTTTTTTATAGGTGAGGCACTGCAGCAGGCTGCCCAGAGGTCTGGTGGATGTCCTTTGCCTGGAGACATTCAGTGTCAGGCTGGACAGGACCTTGAGAACCTGACTGAGCTGCAGATGTTCCTATTCATTGCAGGAGAATTGAACTAGGTGACCTTTAAGGGTTCTTTCCAACTCAAATATTTAATGATAAGCATGCTGTCAACTATTCAGCCTTGCTCATGGGCTTATGTAGGTTTTTTTAACCCACTTCTTGTAAGTTGTAATTGGTAGCAAATGTTATAGTCTTTGGTAAATTAATGTGAGTTTCTGGTGTGCTGCCTCCTGGACTTGTTTAAGTCCATATGTTTGAAGATGGAATATGAAAACTCAGAAAGATGGGATATTGTGGCTATTTAGCACTCCTAGCAGGCTGGTACCACTTTTACCCCATGCTCTTGAAATCATGTAAGAAGACTATGAATTAAAAGACTATGAATTAACATTGTATAGAATGATGGTCAAAAGTTAAGATGGCAGAGTTGTGTGTATTTTTATTTAGTTGCGATTCCTTGGGAGTGTTGTACTTTAAATTGTTTTTTGTTTTTTTTTTATATAAGGTATTTTGCCCTGAAAATGAGACTTCTAAATAACTTTTAAAATGTTTCTTTTAGCTTTATTGCTGAGACCACGGTGAAATTACTCCAAGATAAAATTTCAGACTCTTCAAGCCAATGACCTGATAGAAATGGGACTTCCTGAAATGAAGTCATCAAGGTAAGTGAAAAGTGAATTTGTGGAAAAATATCTACAACTGAGACTGGGGAAAGCAGGTGTTAATGATGGCATGCATTTAATGTATTCTTTGTTGAAATGTTTGCTGCTTGCAGTTATGAGCCCTGCTGAGGTAATCTGTTTTATTTTACTTATGTGAAATCACCACGTTGTTGGCTATGCTACTTATTACAGAATTGTGGATTTTCTAAAACTGGTGTCTCTGAGGTTTTCTGGTATATTGTTGTGGCTGGCTCTTGGTCTTCTGCTAATATGTCTGACTTTGCTTTGAAGCATTTAATTTATTACTCTGAGAAAATTATATAGGGAATTTGTGTTGTTGATAGTCTCAGCTCTAATTTTTTTTTATTAAGTGTTGTTTTTGGTCTGGATCTAGAAACTTGTATGACAATACTGCCAATACTACCCTTTGTAGAGAAGACCCTTGTAATGGCTTTACTTAGCAAGAAAAATCTTCTAATGGTGGACAGAAGTACAAGATGCTACAAAATAATGTCCTTTCTTGCTTTTAGAAAGTTTAAATGTTTATCATTAAGAAAAGAGAATGTCAGAGCTGTGCCAAACACAACATATTATTGTTTTCCGTTCCAGTGTAAGCATTTGTCCTTTGATATGAGTAGCAAGAGTACTAAGTTTGTGATAATGGGCAGCTACACTCACCCATTTTGTTGAGAGTTCATCAGCAGACCTTTGCTGTGCCTGTAGTGCGATTTGCAGACGATGTGCTGCGTTTACCTAGAAGGACAGGAGGTATTCTGTTCTGTTCTTGACCTTGTTTTCAAGAATGACGGTGTGTTGGCCAAGCGTGTTGTTGCGTCCTGCCTCACATAAGGATTAATTTATTAGAAAGTACTGACTGTTACTAAGACTTCAAAGCTTTGGCACTTTATTATGTAATCTTCAGCTTATTCCTCCAAAAGCTGTGTTTTCCCCAGTGTGTATGTAACCTAGGCTCCCAGTCTCCTCCTAACTAAAACCTTACCTTTACAAGCTTTGTGTGTAGTTACTCCTCTGTCCCGTTTGTTTTATAATCCAAGTCTTTTTTGCTGCTAAATATTCCAAATCTGAAGTAAGCGCTGGCTTTTCACGCACGTGCCTCACAAAAGTACATGCTCTTATTTACCAAGGAAACTTAAAGGCCAAGTATTTTCAGCCATTCAACTAGGGACTTGAAAAAAAGAGTGGCAAGAAGAATCTGAAAGAAATGTTTGGAAGTGATTAGGAGATGAAACAGACTTTGGTTGCAGAGGTGTGCTGTTTCACTAACTGCAGAACACATTATCGACATGTGTATGAGTGGTTGGGCTAACCAGACTAGTGAAGGAAACCCCATAACAAATACTAGGCTGGGGTTTTCTGGCCCTTTCCCTTTTGTGCTGGAGTTGTGCTGTATATCTTGAAGATCTATGTTTAGACTTCTGTTCTTCCCCTAAATAAAGCCTGGAGAGGCTTTCTTCTAGAGAAGAAACTCTAGCAAGGCAAGATGTGGCATTTCCAACCAAACTTAAATCAGGAAGAACAGCAGCTACAGACTGAATAACCAAAAAAAAAAAAAAAAAAAAAAAAAAGTTTCTGATGTACTTCTAATATTTAAGAAAGAACTTTACCCCCAAATAGCAGTGCAGTTTTCTACCACCTGTATCAGAAAATTTATCATCCTTCAAACATGCAGGCCTTTGAAGTAAAGAAATAAGCAAGGTAAAAGTAGACCAGAAGTATTATCCTGTTGTAGGTGGGAGTCTTTTGAATTTCTGTGAGAGCTTGTGTTACACGTGAATGATACAGATAGGCAGAAATAAACCAGAAATGATTTTGGGGCACCCTTTCCAAAGATTAAAGGGAGACAAAGGTTTTCAATGTGTGACTCCAAAATTCTCAGCATTAGGATTTTTACTGTGTACATGAGTACAAACTTCTGCTTTTCTACATCTGGAACAAGGAGAAGAGAGTTTGTAAAATGAGTGACCAACTGCTGGGCTGTGGTTGCTGAGTCAGTTTTGATTTCTTTAATTCTGCTCTCTTAGAAAATTCAATTTGAAAGTTGTAATTTTTTGTTTGGATGCAGAACAAAACACTTACTGGTTGTTAGAATTCTTGTTTTCTGGCCAAGGCTCATCAAAACAGATCTCAAAAGTCTTAAAATGTTCTGTCATTATCCTTTTAAACTGTATTTTGTTCTGGTGTCCAGCTTCTCTTCTAGGCTGCATCCAAGCTTAGAGATCTGTAGCTCTGACATTGTAAAAGTAGTTTTTTCTTCTATTTCTTCTCTTCTCCCACCCCTGCCCCAACTTGTGAGATTTTATTTCATGAAAATGCCTGCTCTCCTGAGATTTTTGGTTGTTTAGATAAGCAGCCAAAAGTTCAAGCTGAAGTTGAGTTCAGATCTTTGAAGTTCACCTTTACAAATCATAAACTGAACTGCCTCCCATACGAGCTTTTTCTTTATATTTTAATAGTCTTTAGAGAATACTTGAAGTCATCAAATCTTGTTCCCTGCTGTATTATATACTACTGACCAGTTTTGCTAGATTCATGCATTTTCTGCCTCAGCAGGAAAAAAAATATACTAAAAATGTGATTCCTTCTATTCAAAAACTGCTCTTTATTAAAGAAAAATACATATATAGATAGACACAAATCAACCCACCTCTCTACTTCATTCTCACCTTTTGGTGGTAATCAAGAGTCACTCCCAAACTTCACACTTTTCAAGAAAGGTAATGGTGAGTTGATTTTAATGAAATAAAAAGCTGCAGAGAGAATGGAGTGTAACCGTGTGTAGAACCACCAAGTTCCTGAAGGAACTGCTTTTGAGGAAAGCATCTTCTCCAAGTGTTAGATTGGACACAGTTCCACTTGGTGTCCCCACATTGCACTCTGGTTGGGACAGGCTGGTAGGCCTTGAACCCTCAGTGTGCTTTCTACTTAGCTAACTTTTGTGATGGTATCTTTTAATATTAACTACTGATGTTTTCAATGGTATCAATTTAAAAAACAAACAATGCATACAGAAACTGCTTTTTTAATAGTTAAACTCAGAATCAACCTTCATTTGGAGGAACAATTCCTGATGAGCTCATTTCAAACAAAGTTTTGTGGTATCAAAAATGAGCTGTGTTAGGACAGAAGTTTAAGTAGTTGGTCTGTGTTGTGCTGCTTTAAAGATACGTGCAGAGTGACTAGAATGATCAGAAATATCACAGAAGCATCTTTTGTCAGTTTGAACTGATCTTTTACCATAAATTCCTGTTCTGTTGATGTGGTAACTTTGAATAGTTTAGTAAACCAGCTTACAAAATGCTACCAAGCTGCATGTTCCCATGCTTCTATTTCACCACTGCCTTAATTTTCCTTTGAGGATAGTTTTCTGGGAAAACCCTTGAAGCTATATTACTAATGTGATCAGAGTTGAACACAGATTTTTGGAGGGTTGCAGTCTGTGGAAGATGCATGAGACAATTACCTGCAAGCCTGCTTTACAGAAATTGCAAACCCTGGAACATGGCCTAGATTCCATACTGCGTACTGGAGGAGACACTTAGTGTTTGTTTTTTCATTTGTTCTAAGGTACTGAGTAGGGTTGTCCTTATTTTGGCTGCAGTGATAGCAAGAGAGCTAAGCTACAAGCTGCAGTTTGCTGAGCTTGTTGTGGAACTTAGTGCAGTAAGGTGTGGAAGTTTGTTTGGTTTAGAGTTAACTGTTCATCTGAAATGCAGTATGCTCAGAGATGCTGCTTGAGTTGGATACATGATACAAATCTTCCTACAGCAAAAAGAAACTGGTAGGCTATAGAAATTAGCATGAAGAAACAAATTCTGTAACAGCTTATGTGAGGTTTCTTGTGGTTGTTGCCACTGATCTGACTGCTGAGGTATCTTGAATCGGTTTGCTTTAAAGTGAAATTAATGCATCTCTTACTTCCTTTGCTCCTTTTTCATATGTGGTACTGGTTATTTCAATTGGCAGTGATAGATTATCTAGTATTGATCATGATCTGACTAAGGATTTGGTAGTTCTTTAAACATCTCTCAGACTTCAACTTTTTAAGGTTTAAAATATTTATTTCAAGTTCATGTTTGGACTTAGTGAAATGACACTAGAAAAGCAATAAATTGGGTAATCATTTAGTTTCAGTAGGGATAAATTTTACTACTGAAACAATGCAAATACTTGTTTTATGTTGCTGATGATTACTGACTGAACAGTGGAGTGTAGCAGCTATGGAAAATTCCAGGTAAAAGTGTAAAATGATGAGTGAAAAATATCAAGGGTAATACTTGTTAAATGTGATTTCATTGACACATATCTAAAAATGTCTCCCTAGGTCACCTGGGAGTTGTGAGGTTGAGTCATGTTAGCCCTTTTTCACATTTACTCCATTTTGCTCATACTTCCTGAATCTATTCTGTTTTTCTCTTTTTTTCTTTTTTGCTCTGCTGGTTTGTTCTTTCTTGGCTTTATTTTTAATTAGTTAAACATAAGTGGCCTTTGACATAGGAAAGATTATGAAAACAGTGGGATGTTGGTAACTGCTTTGAAAGAGTAAGGCAAATATTTTTGTGTGTTCTCCTTTGTCTTATGTCTCTCCTGGGGCTCAGTTGTCAGTAAGTGAAGTAAAACAGCCACTTGAGTGGGGAAAAGGGAATTTATTTAGAATATTTCTTAGTTTTCTGTGCCTTATAGCTAGAGGCCTAATAAATCTTGGTTCCATTGTGCTGTGCAGAGCTACAAATGTGTAAAATGTTTAACAAGAGCCTCTGAACATTATGGTCTAAAGTGTTATAACAGACAAGACCTGGCAGGGAGGCAAAGTACTTAATTTTATATATGCGTATCAACAAAGATTTGGAATTGGCATTCAGTTGTGTTTAATACAACTTGAAGATTTGCCCTCTTATAATGGAGTCTAAATGGGCACTAGTCTTCTGGAAATCTTGCCTATGCAGCCATGTTGGGAACATGGGAAGAGTTAATGAAGTTAC